TAAACGCACCATTTGAGTTTTGTAAAAGTCCCAAACACCTTCAAATTTTCTTTAAGTCGCTTAAATTTTCGACGATTTAGAACTTTTCTCATCGGAAATCGCCCATTGTAAAAGCGTAGTACTCTTCCACTATTTTTATTTCATTCAAAATATTCTTGAATCATGTCTGTTAACACATTATTATCCATGATGAACACCAAAAAGTATAAAAATATTATTGGTTTCCACTGCCTACTTTAAAAAGTACATTATTTGGCGAATATCTCATAAACGGTTGATTTTAGGCATATGGTACTAAACTCTTTTAAAAGGCAATTAAACAAAAAATCCAAAAGTGGTAAAATATACACGGTGTTCCATTAAAAAAAATAAAGTTAATGATACTTCCGGTAAAACAAAAAACAGCATTAATTTGGAATCTATCTCAAACGATAGATAACAAAAAATGTTCAACTTTGTTCTAAGAAATATTGTCATAGATTTAAAAATAATGGAGTTATAGCTTGGGACCTTTTTCATAATACAGCCTGAATGAATTTGTAAAATAATTAAAATAATTGTTCTTTTTCTGTTTCTGTGTCACTTACACAATAGAATGCAGTTACAACTAGAAACTACATAAAATAGTAAGTTTATAACTGGTACTATAATAAGATTAATTACGATCACGTAAAACGTGTTGAAACGATAATTGTCTCACAAAAGTTAAATGACATTCTAACTAATATTTTAACGTAAAATATCACATGAAACATAATACCAATTACAAAAAGTTAAATGTGGTTTTTAATTAATATAACCAAGAAAGCGGCCAAATAGGCATAATTCGATTGTTTTTTAAGCTAATACAAGTTACTTCAAACTCGATTCATGAAATTGGTTCTTCTTTTTAAAGTTTTACATTAATTAAAAACATTTTTTATGCAAATATTGTTTCGTTTATTTAAATTGTATTCAATATTAATATGCCGTGTGTAAATATGCGACAAATGAGCGAGCAAATAGATATATGGATGCAAACAAGCAACAATTAATTGAATAAAATTAATAATTGAGTTTGGAAACATGATTAGCAAGTATTTGTTCAAATTTGTATTTATCAATCATTCGAGAAACACTTGTCCCAAAAACGAAATTATAAAAATGAATAATTCATAATCTCCATGACAAAAACTTTCTTCACTCAGCAAATCCCCGAAATTAGAAGTTGATCAATTATTCAATGGAAAGACAATCGCTCCCAGTGACTTGTCAATTTTTCCATTACCCAAGCAATCCGTCACTGTCAATAAACAATGGCCCTTTTTTAAAAAACGAACTTTTAAAACTCAAGTGCAGTGGATGAGATGGCGAGAAGCCACTTCGGAAAACTCGAAAGGAAGATAAGTTCAAGATGATGATAGATCATATAATAATAGCCATATTTAAAAACGCGTTAAGATATGCCGAGAGGCTCGCAACCTGCCCTCTCTTTCAACAACATGACGCTCCTGCAAAACTGGAATAATGAATAAAAATGCAAAAATCACCATATCATTATAAGCTGATTTACATTCCATGTTTTCCTAATTTAGTTTGACGAGACCTAAATTCGTTACGCTTTCGAGAAGAATCAACACCTGACTAGTTGGAGTTAAGCTCATTACGGAGCTTTAACTACCATTTTTATGAAGAGAGTGCTGTAAGCTGACTTGTTTGCGGTGACGGATTTTACTCTTTCGATCAACACTCGCAAAAAACTGATTTCTGATTTTAAGCAGCTTTTCACTGAAAATGTACGCTAACGACAAAGCAACGAAATAATTTTCACTTCTTTTTTAGCACACGTAAATTTCCCACCCTACTAAATAGTAATCCCGTTCATTTTGATTATCAATAATTTTTCAATATTTTTCAATATTGTCTAGCCCGGCGCATCCACCATATTGAACAAATTTAAATTTCCAATAATTTTGAACTTTTAATAAAAATCAGAATACAGTATAGCAATAATTTTACGCAACATTGCAAAGTCCATAAGTTGAAACAGTGCAATCAATAGGGTTTCCGGAAGTAAGAGAAAGACGAACTATACTGCGGGAATCGAAACAATTTGTTGTTACTATACTTACGTATAGAATCTATCTTGCCTCCTCGTATATAGTTTTGTATATCTATTACTTTCCAACTCATAACAGAAGCAATGCTGCGTAAAATTATTGTTTTACGGTATGTACAAAAATGTAGTTTTTTATAAATTAAATTTTTATTACAAATATTAAAAGTTACAATTACTTGTTAAATTACTGTAGGTATTTATTTAATGGCAATAATATGCTATTTAAAACTACTTAATAATTTACTTAATAGTAAATGTTAGCGACAAAATATTTTCCTGTGCCTGTCACAAAGTTTGCAATAGTTGTTTTTATTTAACTAAACAAAAACAAAAAAATATAAAACTAAATTTTCAAAATATGTGTATATTAACACTGCCAGTTATTTTGTAATTAAATGACTTATTATGTATCATACTATATTTATTACAAAATTTCTATTTCTTTTCCAAAATCGTTACTAAAGTTACTAAAATAGTAAATTATAATACGTTTTTGTGTACTGTTAGTTGCAAACATTGGGGGTTGTCAAATTATTCTCTTAACGTAAACATAAGCATATAAAAACATAATCCTATTGCTAACATGTATCTGTTTACAAGTATTGTTTTTTTTTTTTTCGCGGTGTTCTATTATGCGTTTTATGAACGAGATGGTACAAATACTAGTGAAACGAGCAATATAACGAGTAAACTGTCAATTGTGAACTGTCATGATGATAATTAATAATAACATAGCCACCAAAAATAGTTTTGCACAAATTTTGTCTAAATTTCCGATTTCGGAAAAAAAATAATATGCACCTAGCTATCTACTAAAATCATTTTTCATTACTCTTGTGTTTTATTTACTAAACACAGATTCGTAATGAAAAACACGACTTTAGTGCTTTTATACATAAAAACCTATTAATATTTTTTACTCGTCTCTCAAAAATGAAAAATAATATTTTGAATATTAGAAATATTATTTTTGGAAAAAATTATTATGTATTAATGAGGAGCACATTATATTTCAGTGTCGGTTCTATTCAAGAAAACTTTTTAATATTTTTAAAACATTATCATTTTTTGGCTATAAAATAGTAGGTATATTAAAAAACAAGTGTTACAAATCCACGACTATCACAATGAGAAGTTGTAACATGCATTGTTTTTTTTTCTATTAAGCGCATTTTAAAGTAAATTATTATTATATTTGACAGTTAAAATTTTTGACATTTAACGTATGCGGTACCTACTATCTATTTCAGTTGATAGTAGAATTTGATAAACAGGGTTTTTAGCGGTTTTACCAAAGTTGTGTTGACTCTCGTAGCCATGATTTTTTATTTTATTTTTTAAAGGTGGCAGTGCTGTTTTTTTCTGTCACATTGAAATTAAAGGTTATGTACGATGGTTTTGGAGTTTAACAAAATTTTAAGGCACAATCGCGTGCTTTATTCAGAACATTCAAGTAATAAAATACATTTTAAGCCGAAGCTTGTTTTTGGGTGAAACAACAGTGAATAACTCCCGATTACCTCTGATAAAAAAGTGTCTATCAAGTTAAAAGTTGGGAACACCAAACCCAAGTCCAAGAATTTTGTTCAAAACGTTGATCAAACGTCTGATATGAAAGATTTGTAAGAAGAAAAGCATATTATTAGAATCTGTTAATCATGTTCATGGTGTTTGTGGCAGTTATCAATATACAAATAAAACTTTTGAATGTTGCACAAAAGGTKGGTTCTTCTTAATAAATCAAAGATCATTATTGATAATAATAAACATTTTAGCCACACCCATAGTTTTAATTAACAAAATTGTTATGAAACAATTGCACCTTGTACAAGAGTAATGTGCCTCACAACTTATTGTTTCCAACTGAAACGCAGTTGCCTCAAGGAAACCCTTAGTGGTGCAGTGGTTTAGTTGATTGACTAAAAATCGGAAAACCCTCCAATATATTCCGTAGATATTTAACTTATACTGGATAACAAGATTGTTTTATTACCTTTTGGTAAATTTCAAAGGTTTGTTAAGGACTAATAGTTAACAATCACAAATTTAGTTTTGTGCTTCAGTGATAGGAGTTTGTGATACAACGTGTTTTGGTGTTGGTATGTTGGAGGATTAGCATAATAATTCTTTATTGACGATAGTTCTGCAGTTCATAAAATCATTTAAAAGAAAATTTTGCTCCTATGAATAAGGTCACAAGCCGGCCTATTTAGGGGGAAGCAAACCCAAGTTGATCCTTTCTTTGGTTTTGAGCAAGAACGAATATTGTTGGATAAAATTTCCGGATTCTACTGACGTTGCCTGCAGATGCTTYTATTTGAGTTGATCATATCTGATAGATTTGCAATTACCTTTTATGAGTAAATTCTTCAAAATAAAAGTATTTTTCTTATACCTTTGAGTTATTTAACCAAAATTGGAGCTCAATAAAACTCGTTCAAATACTATTCAAACACTCATGTTTTGGATTATTTTAAATATCCAAATGAAATAGGATGTATTGTAGTCCCTTCGGTTTCCGCTAACGAGCACATTAAAATCAATTTAAATAAATAAACTCAAGATTTACTAATTAAAACACCAGCTGTTGGTAGATTGTCAGTAAATGTCAAAATGCTGTCAAAAGTGATCAGTGCATTTGTCAAGGTTACTTCGTTGTGCATGAAAGTTGAGTACACTCGTAAAGTGTGACCTTGAGAATTCTACTATCCATTGAAATATAGTATACATTGCTAGAAAATATTTAAATTGCATTAGTGTCGGTGAAATACGTCGAACAGCAATTTCTCACTTAAAAACGACAGTCAAAGCCAAAGTATTGCATAAAACGTCGCCAAAAAACAGTTTCACAAAATTGCATTTTATGCAACTGTTTTCAGTTACACAAAATGCCATTGTGACACCAAAATACAAAAATAAATAAATACACTACAATAAACCATACAATTATTTGTTATAAAAACAACTTTTAAAACATATCTTAGAGAGCTTCTGCCTAATACCTTCCTTGTCATGCCGCACCGTTATATTCTCTTTTTTTCATAGTCTCAGTTAATGCATATTAGGTATGTATAAAACAATTATTAGGTGCTTAACCCTAAATCCTTAATTTTAAATACCAGTAAGACCACAAATTCAAAACAAGGTTTTCGTATAAATTATTCTAGGAGTTCATTTTTATACCTACGAATTTCTATTGCAAACTCTGCTACAAAAATGTTCAAGGTGTATTAGGGCGCCTTAATGAAATTTCCTCCGCCATTCTCGGACTTCATTCCCGTTCCAAAATCAAATTTTGAATCTTTGAAGGTGCGGTATCGTTAATTACCATAGGTCGTATTGATTCGTTGCTGAAATAGCTTTCACAAAGCGCTTGTTTTATTATTTCGTCAAGTGTCAAACGGAGAATATTGCATCGGATAAGTAGTTACGTTCCGCCTAAAGAAAGGTCCCACCTCATGAATTATAATTGACTGATTTTGGTGCTCTTACGCAGACACCGCACAGATCAAACGATCGTTTTAGCACTTTCCAGCATTTTTACACAGCGGCACACTTATCTCCCCGAGGAAAAGCTTCCAAGAAACGTTGACAAACTGCCAAGAAATATACCTAACAACCTAAGAAAATCGCTGGGGAAATTGCAAATATCATGCGTTATACAACAACAATCGTTGCTTCCACACGTATTATTGATTGCACGATATTTTATTTTGTTCTTTTGCAAACCGCATTCAATTTGGTAAAACGCATCGGAGCTTCTTTTGCATTACGTCAGTGCAATTTAATCGCAAAAAGTAAAGCAAACACCCCACAGTAATTGAATTAAAGTAACCAGAGTGTTTAGTTAGTGAACCGATATGTTGCAAGTGGTGCTTGATGGCGTTTGCCACGTTTCAAAGACTTTCTAAAAACAGCTTATGATGCTTTTCGACGGCTCTGTCTCCTGTCATTTCAATTTGTCTGCGGCACCTAACAATCAGATAAAATCTCTTCAAAGAGTGCTGAAATATTAGCAGTTCTCTATTTAAAAAGACAATTTTTTATTCCCTGAAATTACGACTAACTGTTCAATTTAAAAATTTTACGATGACTCGACAAAAGACCCATTTGCGTTTTGCGTCAAACAATATTGTCAATATCATAAATTCAATGCGAAAATTGGGAATAAGTGGAAAATGTAAAGAGAGATTACAGATTGGGATATGGCGAATGAGCTTTTAGTTTAAACTTGCCAGCGTTGCTACTTTTTTGCAAAATCGATAGATTCTCTTTTGACGTTATTAATTTTTTTACAACAACACTAATTTCTAGCGAAACATTATAATTGATGGCTTTTTATGAAAGTGTAAATTAAACTGAACTAGAAATTTGCACTCGTGCGTAAAAACCTGTATGTTCATACAACTCCATAGGGATGAGACTAATCTGTCCATCAAATTTGATGATGTCCTTTATCCAACCTAATTAATAATCTCTTTCCGTGTTATAGAAAGCGTTTAATTGCTCCCAGCTTATGTTTGTATGACAAATACATAAACAGGTTTTAGATAATTTAATCATCGAGAACCATATTTAGACAATGTACAGAGCACCTATTTTAAAATTTTATAACAACTAAAACATTTTCTTGCGTAAATAAAGAAAAAGCCTCCCAAACACAAGTAATCTTATTTAAAAATTATCAGATAAAAAAATCCAAATTTAGAATCACAATTTGAAGTTTATTGAAGCAAAAGCAAAAACAACTACAACACATTAAACAACTCAAATGACATGTTTTAGTTTCAAAAGTTTCTCTTTAAAAATAAATTGACTGCAAAAAGTAAAAGATTTCTTAGATAAATTGTATCTGTTTTCTGTTGAATTTTTAAAATCTTATTTAACTTTACTCTAACCAAACACTAATCCTTTTTCAATCGTAAAAAATCTTATTTAATTGTACAAAGTTCTCAATATGCAACGCAGTTATTTACGTATTTCAGAGCTGTTAAAGTTATAACGACCACGGTCGTTATGGCCCTTAATAGCACTTAGTACGTACAACGTTTTCTGTCGTACTAAATTACCATATTTAAAATAATTAATTTTCAAATTCTAAAAATGTCAATATTTTAAGTTTTAAATTGCCAAAACTGGCAATAAGCCGGACGTTAAAGAAAGACGGACAGTTTAACCTCTTAAAAGCCCCATGTTATTCACTGCTTAACGATTGTAAATTGTTGAATGCTATTCCTACGATAACAACATAGAACGACTATTTATTTAACATCTGATTATTTATTGTAAAAAATATAAAACAAATAACAAATATCATTTTTTTCGTTTTCACTAGTACTAGTTTGGAATATGTACAAATAATTTCAAGTTTAAATTCTCTTGCTTAAATGTGTATTAACTTTAAGAGATTAATTTCTAAATTGCTTCACGTATTTTTTAGTCACATCAACGTCTTTCTTATCTTTTCTGAAATAGTACATTTTATGCGAAGTGGAAAATGTGTCATTACCCCAAGGGTTCAGAGAAATAGTATTCTTTTATTCACAATCACATTTCTTTAAATAATAAATTATCTGTTTTTTTGTCAAAGTTGGTGCACTAAAGTCGCAATGTCAACAAATTGAGTTTTTGACATTTAATGGACTCATAACCTTGGTAATAACCTTGGTAATACACGAAATGTAGTGATAAATTTCCCGACTTCCAAAAGGTTAGGAATCGGCATATTATTATACAGGGTGTATAGAGTAGAGAGTACCTCTTAGTGTATGTAAAAATATACAAAAAAGTTTTTCAAAATATTCCCCTTTTAACTTTGTTCAATACGGCAGCAACTGCATTTCGCACCTTTACAAACCTCATTTGAAAGCTTTGCTATGATATGCTAAATTAGGTTTCTATGAGTAATTGAAAAATCAATAATCCCAGTAAAATTTTAAAAGTAATTGATAAATGCAACTTGCATTCTCCGTCACCAACTAATAAAACGGAGCATTTCAAATTTTGCTCAAAAATTTATAACCTTTATTGACTAACAACTAAAAAAAAATTAAAAATTTTCTACCTCCAACATTGATACATGTTTCCACCATTCTGGTGGTATGTTATGTTGTTCTCCACAACATTTCGTCGTTGGCCCCAGTGGAAATATGATTTTACAAATCGTCAAAATTCTTGGAGGCGTCTCATAGACCCTATTTTTCATATACCCTCAAACGAAATAGTCCACTGAGTTAAAATCTGGACTTTTTGCGTGCAAAAGCAAATGGACCACCGCGACCCATCTACTTATTTTTGTAATTTTTATACAACCATTCTCTTACCGTTCGCTCCCAATATAGTGCAGTCCCATCTAATTGGGTCCACATACTGGCTTTTAGTAATATTCTTGCCTCATTGCCGTTTTTTTTTGACCAAAATTTGCAAAAATAAAATCTATTTCTATTATTTTTTTACCCTGCGTTAAGGCTACTTTTTCAAAAAAAAAATTATTATTATTACACATAGCAGTACTCGTAAAAAATAAATGACAACATTCACAGCCTTTATTTGAAAATTACTTAATGCAAAGTATGCATCTTCAGACCTCGATATCTTTGTAAGAAAAAGTCATCGATTTTATTTAATTTTCTCTTACTCCTGGTAAGATTTCATACTACGCTCTGAACTCAAAATGCCTTAATTTTGAGACACCCTGTAGTGATTGTAAAAAAAACAAATTTTTACAGTAGACATTTGGAGATTTAAGATAACCTTAAACATTTTTTTAATACTCCGTTTTCTCATCACAGTAAAATTTCTTTTACCGCCATTGTCACTCTTTCTATTACTTTGCTTTTGGTATTTTGATAAAATTTAATAAGTTTGATAAATTTTATTTGGTCAATACCATGTTT